TATATTTTTCTCCCCCTGTCCAGTTGAGGAGTGGTAGTGATAGAGTGGGCTCTGGTGGGCATCTGGCATCCAGCCAGGGTCAATCCATCACACATGGTTGTGACCAAAACATGCAAAACACTGATCTACTGGGAGGTACCCCTGGGACCTGCAATTACCTGCTAGAATTTCTGTTGTTAAAGGCTTACTAGGCATTCAGTAAATGACAATCATCTATTTAATGAGATAATTCATTGTTATATTGTGCAGCATACACATCTGACGTCAGACTTGAAGAAAGGAGTCAATGTTGCAGCTTATGAGAGATCTCTAGCAGATCTGGAATTAAATACTGTTATCAACCATCATGAACATGTCTGAGCTGCTGGGGCTAGTCAGGTCTAGTCTCACCAGTGATCTGCATTCTTAAAGGTGGGTGAAAACTGAAGTGGTGAAGTTTACAAGTGTCATTCAGAGTGTCATTCAGAGTGATCAAACTTACTGTAAAGAATTAATTAGAGAGAAGATATTGCAGGACTAAGTGGGCAACACAATCACAGAGGAAACTTAAGTGTTGACAAATGCAAAACTGTGCTTATAGAAAGAAATTTGCGAGTCACTGTGATAGCTCCCTGAAACCATGAAGTCACTGCTCAGCGGCAGGCTAAAGGGCAAACAATATTAGGAATCACTGGAAGGAAATACAGAACAAAGCAGAGGATCTCATTATATCAGATCCCTGGCATGGCTCCATCTTGAGACCAGTTTTAGTCCAAGCATCTTAAAATGGTCAAAGGAGAATTAGAAAAACAGAGAGAAGACTGACAAGCAAAATGGAACAGCATAACTACATGGAGAGACAAACTAAACTAGCGCTCTGCAGCCTGCAAAAGAAATGACTCAGAAAGGACATACTAAAGGGCAACAGAATCAAAAGTATTAGCCAGAAGAAGAGGGAATAGCTATTCATTATTTTCCATTACATAAAAGCTGTGGGAACTGAAGTTAAAATGAACAAGTTCTTCAGAGAAAACTAGCTATTACAATGCAGTGCAAGCTGAAAACGACCGAACAATGTCACAGTGCTGTAAAGAAACGGAACTGTGGGATGCAGAAACCTGCTGCAAGACATGGGATGTCATACTTCTACTACTCTAAGTGCTGGTAAGGGTTCAGGAGCAGTATTATGCCAAGATTGTGGGACTGTCCTTCAAAAAAAAATAAGCCTGGGTCACTTGGAGAAAGTTCAACAGTGAGCAAGAAAATTGTTGGGGATCTAGACAACATAACACGTGAGGATAAACTCCAACAACGGGGGAAGGCTGAATGGGAATTCAAGTATTTAAGTATGTTAAAAGTCCCTGCAAAGAAACAGAAGTAGTCTTTTCATCCTCTCTATAGAAGGCAAGAAATAATGGGTCAATTTTGAAGAACAAATTCAAGACAGACACAACAAACTTCTCAAAATGATACAGCAGTGAAAGAGTTTGACTGAAGAGGGTGTAGATGTTCCATAACAGGAAACTTGTAAAATTATGCTAGATGAATATAAGCACTGTTGCTGTAAGGATTACTCCAACCCAACAGGGCTGTTTCTACGTTCATGTTCTGCAGGGTCTGTGCCACAGGGCCTGTTTCCTCTCCAAGATGCACTAAGACTCCACTCTGTCCTTTCAGGCTGTGCAGTAAAATCCCAACACTTGCTCCTGTTTCCAAGAAGCCCTGAAATCTGCCACCTGTAATGTGCAATGATCCTAAATGGAGAACAATCACGGCTTGCAAAGGGATTACTTACGCCACTCTTTGCTGCCAGCAGCAGGTACTTCAGACCTCTCTTTTCTTTAGGTTGCAGCCCCCTCAGGTAGAACACTCCAAGATAAGCCTGTGCCTGCAACAAAACCACACTGTACAATCAGCCAGGATTTTCCCCCTTAATTACTCCAGTTCTTTTACTGATTTTGTAAGTTGCTCAAATGACAGGTTTACTGTGGCAAGGCAAGTGTGCAAAGTACCCTGCTTGCTCCAGCACCTGTTGAGAGAAGGGGGGGCCTGTCCTAGGAAAAATCAGTCTGATATGGTAAACAAGAAAAATCACATTTGATCTCTAGAACTCCACTATACGTGCAATTAACACCACCATACTAACACTGTAAGATCCAGAGTATCGTTTCAAACTGCACTGTGGAAGTCAGAGCCAGAGAACGGCTCCTACTTGTCTGTAAGATACAGCAGATGAACTTCCTGGAACAGCATGCTACATGAGATACAGTCACTGCCAGAATGACTGGCATTCTCAACACAAGATGGCACTCCTGAAGAGTGGGAAAGGAGGGGAGGGTACACACATCCACATGGATTAATTGTCTTGAAAATTCCCAGATACAACAGGAGGATCTGTTCTTACTTCAAACACCTCATGGAATTTCCTCCACCAAAGCAACCTGTACTCTCAGAATTGAGAGGAGATGAAACACAGAGCCACATTTTCAACTGTAGGTCAGTTTTCCTAAGCCAATGGTTTAATCTAAGAGACACATTAAAAAGCCCAACAGCAAAACAGATAACCAACACTGTTGATGCAGTGGGTACCTAGCTGCTTCTCATGTGCAGGCAGGACTGTCTCCCATAAACTGTAAGAAGTGTAAACATATAGGACGTTTTTTGCTTCCAGTCGCACAGATGTTGCTTTCCAGGATGTCTTGTGGTTCAAATCAGACAGGGTTCTCTGCTGTGGTTCAAATCAGACCCTTCAGACAGGGTTCTCTGCTGGCTCTCTCTTATGAGCTCCCAGGCTGTGGACACTCACCTCTGTAATCCCGGCCATTGCTGCTTGCTCCAGGAAAGTCACTGCCTTCTGATGTCTGTCCCATTCATTTTCAGGTCTGTGGCATAAGAGGTATCTCGCGTAGCGGTACTGTGCCATGGGGTGACAGTTGCTGGCTGCGTGGTAGTAATAAAAAGCTGCCTGGAACAAGGGAAACACACTTGTGTGATTCAGGTAATACATGCCCTTAAACATGACATGACTCCCCTCTGGCCAGGACAAGCTTAACCTCTCTGTCTAGATCTATCACAAGCTGCACACGCTTACCCCAGCAGCCCTCCCACACCTCTCCACTAAAGAACATGAGACTGTTTAAGGGAGACAGTGGACTGCGACTACATGAGCACCCTCTAACCACCCTGCCTTCTCAAGTCAAAACTCCCCGTGTTGACGGGGAAGGCACTGGGCCAACAATACCAAAGCTTACTCTGTGCCAAGGGGGATCTGCACAATTACTTGAAACAAGCCAGCTTTGCAGATCTTTCCAGCTACAGAAGATGCTAACTGCGACCAGCATGCACTAGGTGGCAGGCTGTAGTTAAGTTACCCAAACTGGATGGCTCGAGATGTAAAGAATCCCTCGGATATGCAGTGGTGTTTTAAATACAGTAACATGACAGGTTTCTCCTTGGTACTCTCCTGGGTGCTGGTGGCACATCCCGTGTACCTATGAGAAGACCTCAGAAGCTATGAGAAAGGGGATTTCAGGAGCACATCTCTGAGGGGATCTATGACACTGAAGCCAGCACTGCAAATCTGCAGTTTATATTACTTCCAGCATTTTCCAAGGAGACATCAGACTGTCACACCCATGCAAAAGGAGGAAAGCGCCTGTGCACCCAACAAAGACCACTCTCCTGGTTTGTGTCACACATCTACAACCTTACAAGTCACGGATACCTTTTCCAAGTCTTTTTTTGTGCCTCTGCCATGCTCGTAACACAGACCCACGTTGAACTGGGCTTTGCTGTAGCCTCGATCTGCTGCCAGTTTGAAGCAGGTATAGGCTATGCTGTAATGGCCTGCTCTCATACTTTCAATCCCTGAGAACAACACAATGTAAAAACAGGGGAAAAATAAATAGACAGAATGCAGCCTCAAATGCAGTAACGTTTCACACAGCTACTGGGCCTTCCTTGGTCCATGCCAAGTGCTCTGTTCCACTTCTAGCTAGCTCACCAACCAATTCACAGAACCAAAGCTTCCACAGAAAAAATGGCAATGCTGCTTTTCAGGAATTTTTCTAGTCTCATTGCAAAGACAGATCATGGGCTAACACAACGTATGGTTCGCAAAGAAGTGGCTCGTTTTTTTAGTGTTGCAACTAGTGGTGTATATAGGGCAGGGATTTCTTAGATCATTACATCTTCCTTCAGCTTTTCTTAGAGTTGCAATTCTGCAATTGCTTTTTCAGCTTGCCAGGAAGACTGAGATCTCAGACAATGAAAAAGAATACAAGGATATGACAGCTTGTGTGGCAAAAAAAGACAAAGATGGCTTAATTTCCAACTGCAGATGTCAGGACAACAGTACAGGCTTCAACCAAGCCTGGATTTAAATATGCTGATATAAATCAGGTGGCAGGATGGGACAAAAGGCAATAAATCTCTCAAAGTACAGTTGAAATTGCTGAAAGGAGGCTTCAGCTTGGGTATATGCCATCTCTGCCTTCACACAAGACCTGTAACAATTTGGAGGTCTTTCAAAAGAGAAATGTGTGGTTTAAGGACAAAACAAATCCAAGTCCACATTACCGAGGATATTCAATGCAATGGAAATGTCAATCCGGAAAATCTGCTGCAATTGGAAAGCAGCTTCCTCTAAATGCCCTCGCTGAGCTGGGTCACCCTGAGGAGTTAAAGAAAAAAGCTATTAAGACAGCAAAACCATACAAAACCATAGGAGATTCTTTCTTGGAAACTGAGCAGTGAGGCGCATTTTTTACTGTACTATAGTTATCAAGAGAATGACGTAATCTGCTGTTATGTGTCTACAAAAAAATCTCCCTGTCCTACACAGTCATCTAGCTAGGGAAGCTGTATGGACATTGCTTGCCCCCCCTCTGTCCAGAGAGCTTGCTGTAGCTTCTTGGACATCACCAGACCTTTCAGAATTTAGCAAATACCTGTTACCATTCATAACTGCCCCCCTTCAAAAGTAACGCTAGCCCTTGTTCATCCTCCCGCATCATGTCAACAGCACAAACAATCTCTGCAAAACATGCACTGACATATTTGTTTATGCTTTACAGAATTCAAGCTGAGCCCACGCTGTCAGCTTACTGAGCACTGCACATTCCTAATAAAATCCTGCACAGCAGAAACAATGTCTTTTCCTCCTCAGTAATGAACAGTATTTTTTACTTTATCACAGCTCTGGGAGGTGGGAGGCGGATTAGCCTGGCCTGCAGCTTTAGCTTCCCAGCTTGCGTACAAATTTAGTGCCATCGAGTGGCAGCACCGCACACTGCACACGAGCTGAGATGCCTCCGTGCTCGGGGAAGGCACGCAGCAGAAGTGCCCCTTGCTGCCACCCAACAGCTTTACTGCTCAGCCAGCACTCAAAGCTGCTCACAAGAGGACAAGACATGGACTGACTCCTCTCCTGAGACACTCCTGAGACCTGCCCCATGACCTACGAATGAGCTGGAGACTCTTCCTATGGGTCCTGCAGAAAACGGCACCTCCCAGGATGGGGAGCTCGATGCTCAGCCCCTCAGCAGATCAAGCAAATGCCTTTCTGGTGGGGGACCAGAGGCCACTTCCACATCAAAGAGAGGATCCCACTCTGTTAAATACTGAATTTATCTCCTCTCTGTACACAGTGTCCTTGAGGAATTGCTCAGCTGACTGATTTTTAAAATGGGGAATTGTCTGCACCTAAGACTGTGAATTGCAAGGAATTAGCAGGTTTAATCACAACAAGAACAATAATATAATTTACAGCCTTGTGACTCTCAAGCTGATCACCCTCTTCAAGCCCAAAGTGTCCTCCTCTCTATAACAGACAAGAGCCAGCCCCGATTTGCAGCTTCAGGAGGAGTGATACCACCTTCTCCAGTCATGGGTTGTCTGGTAAAAACCAAAATAGCAACAGCACGTAATCACCTAGAGAAAGATTGCATCAAAATGCAAATACACAAGAACAGACAAGCGCTACTGGATTTTTTGTTTGTTTGTTTTAGTTTTTTTCCCATTTTCTTTCAGTGCTTCTCTACTAGCACCACTGTTACACAGACACCTTAAAGGATGAGGATGCCGGTTTGTAGCTCCTGGAACTTTGCTCTGGCTAAAGCAGAGGGCAGCATATCACATCTTTTTTTCTCCTGGCCTCCAGCTATGCAGGGCAGAAAACAGTCTTGTGTGCGAGTGGATTGCTCAGGCTGTGCCTGGGGTCACACTGAGGTGTCTTCCTGAAGGGAAGAGGCCTCAGGTGAAGATGGAGGGTGCGAAAAATGAAAGCGTACCTTTGTACCATGGAGAACTGGCCCCAACCTGGAGCTCTCAGGGATTTGGAACTCCCCTACATTAAAAAAAAACAAAGAACAAATAAAGCAGGGTTAAGCAATGCTGTGTCTTCACCTCTTCCTCCTCTACTCATCTTCTCTACTCCACAGCTCTTTCCTGGAGGACTGATCGCCCACCCAGTCAGGGACATTAAGAACAGAAGGAACACTGACCAATCTGACCTTTGTATCAAAAGCAACCAAGTGCCACAAGACTGTAGTCCTGTAATCTGCAGCTGGCCAATGCACCTCCTCCAGAAAGGCCCCAGTCTTGGTCCAAACACACCAAAAGGTAGAGAATCTCCCGCTTCTTCCAGAAGTTTGTTCCAGCAACTTGTAAGCATTGCTTTAAAACTCTGTGCTTCATTTCAAACTAAAATACATCTGGTTTCTGCTCCCAGGCACTGGCTCTTCTAGGCTTTTTTTCCCGCTTTACTAAAAAGCTCATTCTCCTACTGAAAGTCCTGATACGACTAATCAACCCCTCTGGATTCTTTGTGATTCTAAACAGACCGCGCTGTTCATGTCTTTCAACCGAAGCACTTTTCTGCCCGAGTTGATTAATTTTATGACTTTTTGCCACTATTCCTGAATTTTCAACATTGTTATTGAAGTGCAGACCGTCTCACTAGTGTCATAGGAAGGGTAAAATTGCTTCCTTATTCAAATCCGTAAACGCCTCGTTTGCATGTATCAGAACTGTACTGCAATTCCCATTGCCCAGGGCAACACAGCGAGATCTCACGCTTAGGTGCTTGCCTCCCTAGCTCCTTTTCCAGATAATTTCATTCCAAGGTACAGTTCTGCTTCTGCAAGGGGATGATCAGATGTGCTATTCTGGCTGCACCGGATGCAGGCTTAGGTGGTCACTCTGGAGTACCCCATTTGCTCATTGCTGCCCTCTTAGATACACTGGCACAACCATGTGTTCAGCCACTATCTGACCAGTTTCAATTGGAATTATCTAGCAAAAAAATATACAGTAAAAGCTAAGCCACCTTGCTCTCAACAGAAGTACGCTGGAAGTGATTACACAGGCATTTACACCAGCTCCTCTAAGAGGATGGTGACCTCCAGCAAAGAGGACGAACAGGCGAGGGCTGACTGAGGCCAATTATTTTTAACCTGAATCACCATAATCACCCAGCAGGCACCTAACACCAGGTGCTGAAGCCTGGATGACATCAAGCCTGTGCTGCTAATGCAAGAAGTAGTCATGCCTTTCCCATGTCTCCCCGTCCCCCTCTCAAACTGTGTGGGTGCAGAGCAGGGAGCTAATATGAGTGAAAAAACAGTCCTTCTGGAAGCCAAGTTCCTTGATTCCTGGCACTATATGGCTACACAAGCATTTGTGCCAGCACAGCAGCAGGAACAAGTGTGCAACAGGCAGGATTGCTTCTTGCAGTGCCTGCACCATCTACAATGCACAGGAAGCCATGGCCTGTGTTCCAGCTGCAGCGTCATTATTGCCAGATAAACAATTCCCCTTTGGCTGTATTAAAATGTATTTTATCTGAACAAGCCCCACTCACCCAACAAGCAAGATTGCTATGGCAAACACAATTTCTATTCATTATATCATCAAAAGTAATATAATCTGTGAATTTATTAGTTGTGCTTTACATTTATTTTCACATCAAGCATAAAATTATCTGATCTTTCTCACCATAAGACTCTCTCTCTTGTTCAGGTATCTCCCTCATGATGTGATTTGTTTTTTTGCCATACATGCAACAGCAAATCTCATGAAAAAAAAATTGTCTGTATTAAAAATTCTTGCCACTATTTGTTTAAACAACATCAGCACATTCATGCTTTAAAGAAACTTTACATTTGGCATAGATGTCTACTCCTAAATCAGTCGCTTACTGAGGAAACATGCTGTAATTTGGACAAACAATTACCCCACGAAAAATAAACAGAAACTAATTCTGAATTTTATCAGCTCACAAAACTGTCTCATGCCCTTCTCCCACTGGAAATCCCTCCTCACCCAAATCCCAGTAATCTCCTCAGATCAGAGTTACCACTCCTAGACAGCATAAGGTTATTTGGAAGAAAACATAGGGACTGACGGATCCTGAGACCCAGTCCCTTCTCCTGAAGGACTAGATTAATGAATTCTCTCAGAACTCACCTTTGAGGCTGGGCAAGCCTCAAATCAAAATTCTTCATGGATATAATAATCTTTTAAGACTCGCCTGTTTCAGAGCAGCTGCCTCAATACCAGGCA